TTGGAATGGGCTGCCCAGGGCAGGGGGGAGTCCCCGGGATCCCTGGGGGGGTTGAAGAGTCGGGCTGACCCGGCGCTGAGGGGTCTGGGGGAGTTGGGAAGGGTCAGGGTGAGGGTCATGGTCGGGCTGGAGGAGCTTCAAGGGCTTTTCCAACCCGGATGATTCTGAGATTCTGATTCTGTGACTCGTGAGCTGTCACTGCTTCCCGTTAAGTGCCAGATCCTCCTCAGGAGAAAGCGTTGCGGATGCCCAAATATATTTTCATTGTCACATCTTGCTTTACTGTCCCAGAAGCTGGGGGATTAAGTTGATTTCTTCTGGTTTGGCTCACAGGTGGAAGAAAGGCAAATTTAGAGGAAGATTTTAATTATAGCCCTAAAGCAGCACCAGTGAAGGGCTTGTTTAGAACCTGGGCTGTTAGGAGAGCAGATAGGGGCCGCTTCAGGTCCCATTGATGTCCTCCCATCTTGGAAAAAGGAAAACAGAAAGAGGGAGGTGGAGTGAATGTCCTGGCATTTGCAGACAGAGTCAGGAATAAAACTCAGGATTTCAGCTTTTCTGTTTGGACTGCTGCCTCCCAGAGCTGAAATACCTGCCGGTTAAATAAGCTCGAGGAATCATAAGGAGAGGAATGGTCCTTTAGAACAAGACCAGGCTGTTACCTTTCCCTGCTTAAGAAATCTCCCCGGCCTGTGTAAGAGAGGGCTCTGCCTCTCGTTCAGCTGAAGATGAGTGGGGCTGTCCCCAGCCCTGTGCAGTTTGCTGCGTCTCATCCAGCACCTGAGGCTCTGTCACTGCTCTGACCACCTGAAATATCTTCTGACGCTCCTTTTCCAGCGCCTCGGTACACAGAAACATCCAGTCTCACTCTCGCAACAAGCAAAATGTATCGAGGCGAGCAATTTAGATCCTGTAAGTGACTCGGGAACCTCCTCCAGCGATTGCCACAGGTAACCTGGATTTCTGCTCCGGACCAGCCCTTCAGTGGCCACACCAACATGTTTTCCACCCCACGGCCAGGGAGAGGAGATCATTCCTGAATGCGCGACCGCCACAGCCCTGTGCTCATCCAGGAGATTAAAGGGAGAAGGCATTTTCCCTCGTTTGAATGGTATTGGACATTTCTTTCCCAGGTCCCTCGGATTATCCTGTGGCTGATGGTCGAACTCGCAATCATTGGATCTGACATGCAAGAAGTCATCGGCTCGGCGATTGCTATTAACCTGCTGTCTGTGGGGAAGTAAGTTGGGTTTGTCATCAGAGGGCAGCAGGAAATGAGTGCTCCTTTCTAAGATTGAGAAAGTGACACTCTGTGTGCCAAAAGAGACTCATTTATTTCCTATAAATCTTCCAAAATAAGCTCTTTGTAGAGAGTGATTCATCTAAGCTGTGCTAGCTCTCTTAGATGACTCAGCCTTCCGTGCCTGTTTCTTTTTTATTTTTTTGGCTATAAGGAGAACTGTGAGTTCTGGCTTTTATTTTAGCTATAACTGATACACAGCAAAATTCAGCTGCAGCTTTCCTGGAAAATTTTATAGTCCTAATAAAGTACTACCAGAAAGGTGATCTCTTTGGCCAGGAACGTGGGAAATGCGGATGTAACAGGAAGCTGCAATTTTGCACCAAGGAGCTGTTAAAGGTCTCGTTCACTCTTGTCATTCTCAGCGTGGACACAGGATTTGCCCTGGAGATTCAGGGAGGGAGCTCTTACCTGAGCTGTTTGTGCAGAAAACAAACCTACAGTCCCTTGCCCTGTGCAGTCAAATGTCTTGTCAAGCTGTAAACAAACCCTTGGGTGATGCGGTCCCGTCCCCAAACAAGTGCCCTAAACATAAAGAGATTTGGGACTCTTTAAGGATTGTTGAGGCTGGTGGAGGAGGTCGAAGTGGTTTGTAAGCTGGTGTCTCTCTCGCAGGATCCCGCTGTGGGGTGGTGTGCTCATCACCATCGCTGACACATTCGTCTTTCTCTTCCTGGACAAATATGGTAATTTCTGTATTCTGGAAAATGAATGGGGATATTCAGCATTTCTCAATGTGCTGATGGTCCTCGTTCTTCTCACAGGCTTGCGCAAACTGGAGGCGTTCTTTGGGTTCCTGATCACCATCATGGCTCTGACGTTTGGATACGAGGTACCTTCACCACCCAGACCTCTTTGGTGACACGTTCCCTCTCCCCCCACCGCTGCCCCTGTGCCCAAACAGCACCAAAACACGGTGGCAAACACTTAAAATGATGTTTGGAGCTGGGTCTGTGTTTTCTGATGGGTCATGCGGCTCCCACCCGGGGCTGCGGCGTGGGCTGACCTGCACGCTGCCTCTGCACGCTGGAGGCCAGCGCGGACTGTGCAGTGCACATCCCTGCTTTGTTAAACACCAGATGGTTCCCAGGGTGTGGTTTTGCATTTTAGCAAAGCTTTGGCTTTCGAGTGTCTTATAAAGGGCAGCCTAAGCGACTGGGTGACGTGCGTTGTGCTAAAAATACCTGTGTTTCTTTTTTCTCTCTGCCCAGTATATCACGGTAAAACCCAGCCAGGAGAAGCTGCTAAAGGGGCTCTTCATCCCCTACTGCCAGAACTGCGGCACGCCCCAGCTGGAGCAGGCCGTGGGGATCGTGGGCGCCGTGATCATGCCACACAACATGTACCTGCACTCTGCCTTGGTCAAGGTAAGCGGCTGTGCTGGTTCATGTAGAAGGCACAGACAGGAATGGCAGGCTGGGAGGCCTGAAACACTCAGAATCCCAGAATCATCCGGGTTGGAAAAGCTCTTGAAGCTCCTCCAGTCCAAGCATGACCCTCACCCTGACCCTTCCCAACTCCCCCAGATCCCTCAGCGCTGGCTCAGCCCGACTCTTCAACCCCCCCAGGGATCCCGGGCAATCCCCCCTGCCCTGGGCAGCCCATTCCAACGCCCAACAGCCCCTTCTGCACAGAAATCCTTCCTCAGAGCCAGCCTGACCCTGCCCTGGGCAGCTTGAGGCCATTCCCTCGGGGCCTGGCGCTGGCTCCTTGGCTCCAGAGACTCATCCCCCCTCTCTGCCCCCTCCTGGCAGGGAGTTGCCGAGGGCCAGGAGGTCTCCCCTCAGCCTCCTCTTCTCCAGACTGAACCCCCCCAGTTCCCCCAGCCGCTCCCCAGCAGACTTGTGCTCCAGACCCTGCCCCAGCTCCGTTGCCCTTCTCTGGCCACGCTCGAGTCATTCAATGGCCTTTTTGGGGTGAGGGGCCCAGAACTGAACCCCCTCAGCGAGGGGCGGCCTCCCCAGTGCCGAGCCCAGGGCTCAGATCCCTTCCCTGCCCTGCTGGCCACGCTAGGAGACGTTGATCTGCTGGGGAGAGGTGGAGAGGATCAGCCAGGGTCTGGAATTGCTTCCTTCTGCCAGCCGGGGGAAGTCCCTTTGACACAGCTGACAATAGCTTTGGGGAAATGCTGTCAGATATGAGCCAACCTCAGATGTTTGACTGCGCTGAGGTCATCAGAACAATTTCCACTCTTTATTCTTCTGCATTTTCTTGCTTGTTCCAGCTTCCCTTCGCTTTGATCCCTGTCCTGACATTCACCAGCCTGCCCAGCGTCATGAATGATTTTGCCAACGGACTGTAAGTACGAAGGGAATCGCCTCCGAGCAGGAGGCGGCCTCTTGCTCGCCTTGGGCACACGTTTCACTCCTCTCCTCGCCTCGTGGCCTGGAGCATCTCCTCCAAACGCAAGAGTGGAGCCTCTGCCTCACCCTGTTTTGCTTTGCTTTTGCTGGCAGGTTCTGGAAGGTCGCTGGCGGCGTGCTGATCCTCCTCATCTGCAGCGTTAACATGTACTTCGTGGTGGACTACGTCAGGGCCCTGAACCACGTGGCTTTGTACGTCGGGGCTGCGGTTCTCAGCGTGATCTACCTGTCCTTTGTGGCGTATTTGGTAAGTCTGGCTCAAGCTGAGACTCCTTGGAGGCGGGATAAGCTGATGGATTTATTTCCTCATCGTTGTACTAATATTGTCACATTCTGCAGGCACTGAATCGGCCGCAGGGTCAGAACAGATGGGGAAGTTGAGGCTTTTGTGGCCGGATTTGCTGGGGATACTGTTTTGTGCTGTGCCTACTAATGCACACAGCCTTTCCCCTCATTTTTCAAGCATCTCTTTAGCAATTCAGCAGTTCACTGTTCCCAAAAAGGCCGTGACTTCATGTTGCAGCAGGTGAAAGGTTGACAGAGACTTTGGAGTAGGCACAGTTCCTCCATACGTGTTTGTGTATGGACAGAGGTGTAAAATCATAGAATGGTCAGAGAATCACAGACTGGTTTGGGTTGGGAAGGACCTGAAAGCCCATCCAGTCCCAGACCCCTGCCCCATGCAGGGCCACCCACCACTAGCCCAGGTTGCCCAAAGCCCCGTCCAACCCGGCCTTGAACCCTTCCAGGGAGGGGGCAGCCACAGCTTCTCTGGGCAGCCTGTGCCAGGGCCTCATCCCCCTCACAGGGGAGAATTTCTGCCTTAGATCTCGTCTAAATCTCCCCTCTCGGTTTAAAACTGTCACCCCTCATCCTACCCCAACCCCCGATCCAGAGTCCCTCCCCCCTTTCCTGCAGCCCCTTTCAGCCCGGGGGGGCCGCTCTAAGCTCTCCCCGGAGCCTTCTCTCCTCCAGATGAACCCCCCAACTTTCCCAGCCTGTCCTCACAGGGGTGCTCCAGCCCCCCCAGCATCTCCGTGGCCTCCTCTGGCCCCGCTGGAGCAGGTCCGTGTCCTTCTGCTGTTGGTGCCCCAGAGCTGGACCCAGCCCTGCAGGGGGGTCTCCCAGAGCGGAGCAGAGGGG